CAGGCTGTTGAGATTTTATCTCCAATTTACTCTGTTCCGGAGGGGGCACCTAAATTTGGGGGTTTCTTTCTCTCCCTAGCAGTTTTTTTATTCTGAACACTTAGAAGATTTTATTCTGAACACATTCTTCAAAAAATATAGAGTGCATTTACTATGTGTGCACCGTTTCTATACTCTTTATAAATATTAGTTTTTCATGGCACTTCTCTGTAGTGGGTAGTATTAGTTTCCCCATTTTACAGATGAGGCAGTTGAGTAGCTTTTCCCAAGTTACCCAGTAAGTAAGAAGCGGGACAGAGAAGGGAACTCAGGCCTATACAGGCCCCTTGTGCTTTTGGGATTTCTCTGTAAGCTTAGGGTTGCTTGGGCCAGCTTCAGTCACAGTAGGAAGCTTGGTCCCTCAGGGTCCTGGGCCATCCTCCATGAATTCACATTCCGTGGGTGTTTAATTTAATTTGTGTAAATGGAATGTGTTTCACTTAATGTTACTTAATTACATGTTTTCTTAGTCCCGCTAGACTTTGTGTAAGTCGCTGAAAGCAAGAAACTGGCAAATAGGTACATTTGGCAAATAAGTAAAGAGTACAGTTTATTGCAAATTCTAGAACTGCTAGATCCGTTCACTCAACGTGGGGCTTTCCTCTTCCTTTGTGGGACTGCGCAGGAGTTTAAGTTGGCTGTTTGTAAATGTCTACTTGTATTCAGAACCCTGCGATGACTGACCAATAGGCCGTAACGTATCGGGTGATAAAAGCCGGGGAGCAATTCTGTTTAAAGCCCAGCATAGTCATCATCTTTGTGTTTGAGCGTGTGAGCCATAATAGATGGTCTTCATATAGGTGGCACTGTGATATTCCTATTGAATAATTCTTTATCTCCGTGAACTTCTAAAAAATGATTTAATTATTTTAATACTTTTATCATACATAACGGTTGAGTTTAGTTTGACATAATCGTACATCATGGAACTTAATTCTCCATTTCAGTTCCCAGTGCCCCCACTTTCCTTCCCCTCTTCCATACCCTTATTGCCCTTCTTCTTATTTACTTCTTTTTTTTGGGGGGGGGTGGTACTGGGGTTTGAACTCGGGGGCACTGGACCACTGAGCCACATCCCAGCCCTATTTTGTATTTTATTTAGAGGCAGGGTCTCATTCAGCTGCTTAGCACCTCTCCATCGCCATTGCTGAGGTTGGCTTTGAACTTACAATCCTCCTCCTGCCTCAGCCTCTCCAGCTGCTGGGATGACAGGCCTGTGCCCCTGTGCCCTGAATATTTACTTACTTTAATTAGTGCCTTATAAATATGCATGGTACATCCACTTTGAGAAACAGTATGGAGGTTCCTCAAAAGAACCAGAAAGAAATGGAACCACTGTATGGGCCAGCCATTCTGCTCCTCAGTATTTATCCCACAGAACTAAAATCAGCACACTCTACTGATACGGTCACCAGTGTTGATAGCACAGTTCTGTAGCCAGGTTATGGAACCAGCCCAGGTGCCTGTCTTAGGGAGCTTTTGATGATTTGAGGTTACATTTCTTGTCGTTCCCCAGAATCCTCAAGGAGATTCTGGTTTGCTCTGTACCCTACAGTTCTTAGTGTATGATCACCTGCATCCTGACTTTAACTAGAGCCCTCGCTATACCAACATCCTCAGTCTTCCTCTCTGTTCCCCTCATATTACTTAAATGCTTCATTCCACGGTTACTCCTGAAATCCTATTTCTTCCTTCCTTCCTTTCTTTTCTTTTTTTGGTTAATGGAAGAGGAACTCTGGTCACGTCTTTATTTCTATTTTTATTGAACATCCCTGGGACATGGTTTCCTCACTGTCATTCTAATGGGCTAATTTATTCTGCGTGGGAAAACTTCTATCATTCTCCGAGTTTGGTGCTTGAGTTTGGAGTGTTGAGCTTGCTTTGCACAGTGGACACCAGTTGCAGTTCCACTGGTCACTGGTCCTTGTGTATTGGAAAAACAGTTTGTCATGTGGATGGATATGAAATAAAATTGGGCTAGGCTTAGATTTATTTGCTGGGGTTGCCATAACAGAGTACCATAGATTAGGTGGCTGAAACAACAGAAATTTATTTCTTACCTGTTCAGGAGGCAGGAGGTCTGAGATCAAGGTCAGCAGGGCTTGTTTCTTCTGAGGCTACTCTGGCTTATGAATGGCTGTCTTTCCCGCTGTGTCTTCATGGGGTCTTCCCGCCGAGTGCATCTGTGCATCTTCTTACAAGGACACCAGTGATGGATCGAGGCCACTCTCATGATGTCATTTTAATTAAATAACCTCTTTAAAGATTCCTTCTCCAAACATGTTCTCAAGCACCGAGGGTTAGGACTTGAACATAAATTTTGGGGAGATATAATTGAGCCATAACAGTATTTAAATATCTGAGATAACCTTCCTGACTTTTTGTGAATGATTAAAACAAAAATTCTTTGTAAAGCTAAGAAGTGGGCTGGAGAAGACAGATCCTGAAAGAGGAACACGAAAACCTGCTTGTGACCTGGTTAAGGGATTTATGGTCGAGTTCCCAGTAATTTGTCTTTGGTCTGCTCTTTCCCAATTTGGGACTCAGTTATATCTAAAGTATCTTTTAAGTGCCTCTGAGGCTTTGTGATTCTATTTTAATAACTGTTTTGAACTTGGGCCTTGCTGCTTATTTAGGAAGATGCTTGGAGAGGAATTTCTATAATCCCAGGTTATAATCCCCTGTTTATCAAGTAGGATGCAGAAGAGCAAAAGGCTTGTGACCAGTAGATCTTGGTTTGAGTTCAAGCTCTGTTCTTCTGTATCCAGCTGAAGAGAAGAGCTGACAGAATCCTTCTCCTGGTTTCTCACCAGCCATGTGACTGCCACGGCGTGCATGCCTTCCAGGAGCCTTAATTTCTTATTTATAAAGTGAGGACAGAGTAGTTAGGGGGCTGCCCTTGGGCCTTGTCCCCTGCCGCTCTTGCCTGCTGCAGATGGGTACTGTCCTTCTACAGTGAACAGGCTCCTGGTGGCTGGGTGCTGAGACAGCCTGTTGGTCCCAGGTGTGGGGGAGGTATCATTCTGAGCCTCTGGACTTTACTGGCCCACTGATCGCTTGACTCACAGGCCAGAGGCCACGAGGCTCAAGGCAGTTGGAGAGGGTTTGTATCAGCGTGTCCAAGCTCACTTGCGGGGACAGAGACCCTCTGCTAGACAGATGTCAATTTGGAGAGGATGAGTTTGTTACTATAAAATTAAATCGTTCCTTTCCTATTTCTATATTTGATAGCAAGAAATGGTTATCACAAAACTCTTCATATATATATATATATACATATACATATGTCTCATCAGGAGGCAAATGGTGAGAGTTTGTGGGGCTGAGATGTAGTTTAGCATCACACATCATCTGATTTTTTTTTTTAAAGAGAGAGAAGAGAGAGAGAATTTTTTAATATTTATTTTTCAGTTTTCAGTGGACACAACATCTTTATTTTATTTTATGTGGTGCTGAGCATCGAACCCAGCACCCTGTGCTTGCCGGGCGAGTACGCTACCGCTTGAGCCACATCCCCAGCCCACATCATCTGATTTTAAGATTCATGGACTTTAGTGTGACCAAAAGGAAGTGCTGGACCTCCTTTCTACTTTTTCCAATCCAGAGGAATATCCACATGACACAGTTTTTGAGAAGGTTAAATGTGTGTGTGTGTGTGTGTGTGTGTGTGTGTGTGTGTGCGCGCGGTGTGTGCATGTTCGTGCACGGTGGCGGGTCAGCAGCATGCCTTCCACATGCTTTGTTTAAAATTGAGTCTTCATCCTTTGTCTTGTAATTGAATTTATATAAATCTAGTCAAAAGCGACTTTTATCATCAGCTTTGAAAAGATTGACTGACTCAGGGTAAGATTTTATTCCATTAAAACCATTATCCAGTTGACCAGAGAGTTCTTTGTGCAGGAAGGAAGATTCCCAAGTCCTGTCTGGCTTACCCATTTCAGACATTGACAGAACTATCTGACCTGGAAAAGCTGCCCCAAGCTAATCCACTTCAGGTTGCTTTCTCTGAACCGCTGCTGGCTCCTCCCCCTTCAGGTTTGTGCTCATCAGAACTTCAGTTGAAGGGGCCAGAAACTTATCACAGACGTGCTTCAGCTAGAAGGGGAATGCCTTTCAACTGAAGTAGAAAATCCTAGGAGTAGAAGAGTCTGTAGGAAGGTCGGATCCAGGGATTATAGGTTATTATCAGAGCACTGTTTCCCCCTCTCAAATGGATGTATTCTCAGAAAACCGATCACTTAGTTGTACCCGCTGACTAACAGCTGGAAAGGAAGAAAGAGCTGCTGTCTTGTAGCCATGTGCCAAATGTCAAGGAAGATTTTGATGGGTTCTGCTTGAGTCCCATGACCATTCCTGCAGCTGTGACTGGCTGGTGCCTGGCCACAGCTGGAAAGGAAGAAAGAGCCTGCTGTCTTGTATCCATGTGCCAAATGTCAAGGGAGATTTTGATTGGTTCTGCTTGAGTCCCATGACCATTCCTGCAGCTGTGACTGGCTGGTGCCTGGCCACTTGCCAACCACGGTGGTAAAGTATTTTTTCCCAGTGCTGGGGGTTGAACACAGGGCCTTCCTTACACATGCTAGGCAAGTGCTCTATCACTGAGGCACATCCCAGCCCAGCAAAGCATCTTGATTGGCAAGCCCACTGGGAGAGGCATGGTGTCCCCAAAGGAAAGATTGCTTAGCAAACAGATAACCTACGTCTGGTATAGATAACTAGTGTTTCAAGTCAGCAGGGATTTAGCGTTTCCACCTTTAGTTTATAGTGCTTGATCTACTTTAGAATTTTGCACTGTGCATTTCAAACCTGTTTAAGATGAGAAGATGTCACGTGAAGGATGCCCATCAGGTGGAATATACATTTAGAGATAAATGAATGCTGAGATGGATGTACATGTGGGCCATTTGGGGAAGTAAAGGAATGAAATGATGATAATGGATTTTTCTTTTTTTTTTTGGTAGGGTTAGATGACTGCCTGCAGCCGTATGTCCACAAGTTTGAGCGGGAGAAGATAGATGGGGAGCAGCTGCTGCGGATTTCCCATCAGGATCTTGAAGAGCTGGGGGTCACACGAATCGGGCACCAGGAGCTGGTATTGGAGGCGGTGGACCTTCTCTGTGCACTGGTTAGTTCAGGAGGAGGTGATCTGTACTGCAGTGACTTCCTTTAGAGCCTTATTCTGTCTGATCCTCATCATGATCTAGCACATCATTGTTTTCTTAGTGATCCATGAAGCATAAATTGAAGATACTATGAGAAGGAAAGAAAAATATCATTTTCTAGAATGAGGGCTAGAAAATTATGGCCTGTGAGTTAAATCTGGTCCACGGTCTATTCTTTTTTTGGGGAGAGGGTGTGGGGGGATTGAACTCAGGGGTACTTGACTACTGAGCCACATCCCCAGCCCTGTTTTGTGTTTTATTTAGAGATAGGGTCTCACTGAGTTGCTCAGTGCTTTGCCTTTGCTGAGGCTGGGTTTGAACTTGTGATTCTCCTGCCTCAGCCTCCTGAGCCGCTAGGATTACAGGTGTGCACCAGTGACCAGCCCACTGTCTATTTTTGTAAATAAAATTTTATTGGAACACAGCTGTGTTCATTCACTCCTGTGTTGTCTGAGGCTGCTCTTTTGCTGCAGCAGCGGGGTTCAGCAGTTGTACCAGGAACTGTGTGGTCCTCCAAAGCCTGAGATATTTACTCTTTTGCCCTTTACAGAAAAAAGTTGCCTTTTATGGAAAATGTCTGTATGTGTTTCATTTTCTTATCTTTTGTAAAGACTAAAAGGATGGATCCAATCTTGACTGCAAATATCATCTTCTAAATTGAAATGAGAAATGTCCCAGTTTTCATGTCTGCTTTTGTGACTATTGAAAACATATTCAGTTTCACAGATATTTGTGCTGTTTGAATGAATTGCTGTTTGTGTTTGAAATAATCAACCCAGGAAATGGCAGCTAGATGGGAAAACGGTGAACTTGACTGCATATTATAGATGCTTAACTCTGGCTGTATGTGAGTGGGTGTCGTCCTGCTGGGCCCTGGTGCTAGCATTACACTGTGTAGTGGCTGCGTGCTCAGCTCCTTTCGGTGTGGGCCGAAAACACCTGTCAGAGCACTTTGTTTACAAACTGGCTGGTATGGGTGGGATTCAAGTCCATCTGCCGTGGTGCCATGTTAAAGATGCCGTTTACTTAACTGTTAGGATTTAGACGCGCTTGTCGGCATTCAAGCTGGGTTAGTAATGCTCTGAACCCGAGCCAGAGGTATATACAATTACATCACCCAGAATGTGGGAAAGAATGTGCTCGGGATGGGTTTGCCATCGCTGGTCTGCGTTCCGTCGATTATACAACACTTGCCCCATTGTGCATATTCTTCTTCTTAAAATGGACAGAGCCGTGTCTTCTGCACTGGGATGCGCTGCTCTTGTTTGGGAGAGTAATGGGGAAATTATTTGTGGTTGATAAATGAGCTGCCACCAGGGAGACACCGAGGCCAAGTGGCCTGAGCATTGGCCGGGGAAGCAGGATTTTTGCATTCTAATCCTGGCTGGGCTCTGGAGATTCCTCCCTCTGTGGTCTCTGGGGAGTCTGTTTTCCCCATCTGTACAGTAACTCACCTTAGATGGGGCTGTGCACTTACGGGTCAGGGTTTTGCACGGCTGAGGACATGCCTAAGCATCCTGTTTATTATTCAGACTGTCTGGTTTTCACAGTCCAACATGTTTGAATTTACTTTTATTATACTTTCTGGGAACATGGCTTTTCAGTCTTTTCTGCTAGGTGATCTGTGAATTTGAATTATCTCCTTCACTTTGCAGTAATACTTTGAGGGCAAGTCAATTACTTTGAAATCCACCGCCTCCGAGGAGAAGGGGGTCGACCAGAGGCGCATTGTGTACATCCAGCGGGAGGATAAACAGCAGTTGCCTCTGGGCTCTCTGTTTGCTCTTTCCTCTTCCCTGGCTCTTAAAACATTAGAGTAAAATGAACAAAGCTGGACAAGTGCCAGAACCCAAAGCTGTGTTTTATCTCCTATAATTTCCTTCTAATTTCCTCTGTAGACCGGGCTTTGACCTCAGACTCATTCTGGACCTGCTCTGTGCAGTGGAGCCCCAGACTACGCTGGGCAGGAGGGTCCCTTGGGGGTTTGCAAATGAGCTGCGGAGAGTTTCTGAAGCATTTTAGTAAAATATCTCTAGTCTTCCTAGCATCATTTAAAATATTCTTATCATAACACATACAATAACGCTATCTGTTTAATTCACTATCATATAAATCTTTGGATGCACAAATTGGTAATAGCTTTTTGCCCTGCATATTCATGTCCTGGGCGGTTGATGGGTAACCGTGATTGGCCTTGGTGTTATGAAAGAGGTTTCTGTGTAAACTCAGTTCAGTGGATGTTGATTTTATGATAGACAGGAAATGAATAGAATTAGAAGTAAGGAAGGAGGGAGGAAATAACAAAATCGCTGGAAAGTTTTGGAGCAAAGAGAGGAGTAGATAGAATGGATAGGGGTTGAAAATAAGGAAGGGCTATTGGTTAATTCCCCCAAACTGGCTCACAGTAACTCACGGTTGGTTGGTCTTGTTTGAGAGCAAGGGGAGAAACTGCCTTTTGTGAACAGTGACCTGGGTAGCAGGAGTGGCTTAGGTGACTGACTTGCATTACAAGATGGAGTAGGATCATCTGCCAGGATTGAACTCAGAATCTGGGCCCATTGTTTTTCCTGCTGTATGGGGCAAAGGGTAACTGGTACACACTATAGAGCTGCTCTTTCCAGAACATAGCTATTACCACATGTGACTATTTAAGTAGAAATGACTTAAAATGACCTAAAAGTCAGCCCCTCAGCCTCACGAGCTACGCTGCCCATGCTCAGTAGGTGTGTGGCTCTGGGCTACCATATTGGATAGTGCTGATGAAGACCGTTGTCATCCTTGTAGAAAGTTCTGTTGGACAGCACAGGTCAAGAATCTGTGGTAGATACTAAGAAAGTACAGTGGGGACCTGTATTCTTTGTCAGATCAGTGAAGCCCTAGTCTCCTAAGACTAGGGAAACAAGGGCAGCTGTCCTTTTAAGGTTGAAGTAGGCTGAGTAGTCAACAAAGTTGGAATGAATGCATGTGTTCAGCCACACTGCCTACATTCATGGTTCAGTGAAACACCGGTACTGAATCTACCTGTGTAGCATGCTGATGTGCACCCGCACCCCCGAGATGATTCATTATTCATCATTTACCATGGAAAAATCTGTGGGAAGTTTTTCTCTTTCTCTTTTAATGGGCGATATCAGGCAGAAGAGGACTCTTTGTCATCAAGTTGCATTGAACTTGATCTTGCTTAGGAGCTTATCAAATACCCTTAGGAAAACCATCCAGTATATTCTTAGTTCATTAGCTCAAGTCAATGAGATGGCTTTGATTGTGCCTCTGACATGCCTTTAGATCACGAACAGAGGTTGTAGAAAAATGGGAAAAGGAGGAGGAGGAGAAGTTGTGTTGTTTGTCCTTGGCTAAAACGTGGGTAATTTGAAGGCTCCAGAAGACTGAGAATTTGGCCTCTTTCCTTTCCTCTTGGCTGGTGTGCAGTTTCCCAGCCAGATCTGGAAATGTTTGCTGATGGCCAGACCTTAAGGAAATGGAGTGAGATGGCAGTGGGTGCAGTTTAGCATGTGTGTAATTTTGGGGGCACTCATTTTGGTACTTAATTTGTTTTGTCTCCTCCTTCCTCTTCCTATTCTTTTTTTTTCCTTATATTTACATTTTTAGTTGTAGTTGGACACAATACCTTTATTTTATTTATTTATTTTTATGTGGTGCTGAGGATCCAACCCAGCGCCTTGCGTGTACTAGGCGAGCGCTCTGCCGCTGAGCCACCACCCAGCCCGCCTCTTTCTCTTCTTCATGGAACCCAGGGCCTCTTGCATGCTAAGCATCTCTACCACTGAGCTCTAGTCCCACCATAGTTCACACCTTCTGGATGCCTCATATTACAGCAATTTCAGACGGAGACAGGTTTTAGGGAAGAGACCCATGAAAATGATCAAATCTAGTCTGAGAAGTTCTTCATTTTTCAGTTTTTACTGTGGGGTACTGAAGTCGATAATCCCTCCTTGCTTAGGTTCTCCAGCAGAGGTCCTTTCCAGCCAATATAATGAGACTCTTGTTCTCTCCTAATTGTGGAATGAGGTCGAAGGGAGCAAACTTTCCCCCATCCTTCCTCCTTTTACAAATTATACTCAATTTTAGCTGCATCTCTCCATCTCTTTCCAGTTCCATGATTTGTTTTGTAAAACAAACAAACAAACAAAAAACCAGAGCAAATGGAGTAGAAAATGGAAAGAACTGGCTGCAAGAAGCTACCCTCCCCCTTTATTTTAACAGTGACAAGATGGAGATTTTAAATAATAGTAAATGTGCCTAATCCTTTTGGAGTTCTAGAGGTCAATGTGTGCGGGAATAAAGCTCCACGTAATTGTGGTGACACTGCTGTGGACAGCCAACCTGGCTGCTCTCTGTCAACACTGTTGATGGGAGCAGGCTGAGTGATTGAACCAGGGGACATGTCCCTCCCATCCTCTTCACAGGTCCTTCAAAACAAGCTGTGTCATGTGGGCTTTTAATCCGTTCTATTGTGAGTCTTCGATTGTTTGAATTTCAAAAGCCACCATGAAAGTACTTCTTTTTGTTTTTGTCTTCTCCATTGAAGAGACATATTATATTTTAGTCTCTAGAGAAAAAAATAAAAAAAACACAGTGATGGGGGAAAGTGAGTGAATCTAAGATTTCAATAGGACATTGCTTTTAATGCAGAGCACATTTATATTTGGAAATTTGCATCTTTTAAAGTCTGCAAAAGATGGCTTGTAGTTCATTTATGCTTCCAAAATTTCTATCTAATTTTTAAAAATTTTAGTAGTAAACAACAAATTTAAATGTCCAATAAAATCTATTTAATGTCAGACTTTTCCTCAAAGCCATAGTCTTTTGTTAACTTACCATTGTTCTTGCTGGGGGCGGGAAGCTCTCGCAAATCTGAATGCATTTATGTGTTATGCATCTTGATGCTGACTTGCCCTCTCTGGCCCTGTTAGCTGGATGGAGGGTAGAACGTGTCAGCATAGAATTTTGGCCAGTTAAGCAGCTTGATTGTTTGTTCCACCTGGGATCACTGGCTAATTTCCTTGTTCTTGTCTAATGTTCGACCTACTTCTAACTTCACACCTGACCCTTTCTTGGGCAGATGTGTGCAACATCTGGATGAATCCACAGTAGACAGATAGAAAGTCTGTGCGTGGATTCAGATTTTCCAGGCAAGAATCCCACCCCTACCACTGATGAGTTCTGTAACTTTGGAAAATTTATTGTTTTTGGTGCTTCAATTTCCTCACCTGTAAAATAAAAAACAAAGGTTGAGCATCTCTGATCTGAAAACCTGAAATCTGAAATGTTCCACAAGCTGCAACATTTTATTTATTTATTATAATTTTATTTATTTATTTTAATTAGGTATATAAGACAGCAGAATGTGTTTTGATTTATTGCACACAATTGAAACACAACTTTTCATTTCTCTGATTGTACATGATGTAGCATCGAACATACATGTACATAGGGTAATCATGTCCATCACATTCCACCGTCTTTCCTGCCCCTTTCATCCCCTGCCCAATCAAAGTTCCTCCTCCCTCCACCCCCAATTATGGATCAGCATCCACTTATCAGAGAGAACATTTGGCCTTTGGTTTTTTTGGATTGGCTAACTTCACTTAGTATTATCTTCTCCAACTCCATCCATTTACCAGCAAATGCCATAATTTTATTCTCTTTTAATGTGAGTAACATTCCATTGTGTTTGTATACCACAGTTTCTTTACCCATTCATTTATTGAAGGGCATCTAGGTTGTTTCCATAGTTTAGCTATTGTTAATTGAGCTGCTGTAAACATTGATGCAGCTGCATTAATGTAGATGCTGATTTTATGTCCTTTGGCTATAGACTGAGGAGTACAATAGACGGGTCACATGGTGGTTTCATTTCAAGTTTTCTAAGGTGGAACAAACTATCAAAACCTTGCTTTCCAGAATGATTGCACCAGTTTGTGGTCCCACCAGCAATGTATAAGTATGCCTTTTCCCCCACATCCTCTCCAACACTTATTGTTGTTTTTATTCTTGACTGTGACCCAGCACATGATGGCAGCTTTAACAATGCGTATAAGTTGTATATGAAGCATGAATGAATTTTATGTTTGGACTTGGATCCCAAGATAGGTCATGCATATACAAATATCTCCCCCCCCAAAAAAAACAAAAACAAAACAAAACAAAAAAACAGATCCTAAAGATTTCTGGTTCCAGCATTTTATATAAAGATACTCAACTGCCATTCTGATGGCGTGAGATGAAATCTTAGAGTGGTTTTGATTTTCATTTCTCTAATTGCTAGAGATGTTGAACATTTTTTTCATATATTTGTTGATTGATCGTCTATCTTCTTCTGAGATGTGTCTGTTCAGCTCCTTAGCTCATTTATTGATTGGGTTATTTGTTTTTTTGGTGTTAAGTTTTTTGAGTTCTTTATCTATCCTGGAGATTAGCGCTCTGTCTGACAAGCATGTGACAAAAATTTGCTTCCAAAATGTAGGCTCTTTCTTCACCTCATTGATTGTTTCTTTTGCTAAGAAGAAGCTTTTTAGTTTGAATCCATCCCATTTATTGATTGTTGATTTTATTTCTTTGCTTTAGGAGTCTTGTTAAGGAAGTCAGACGTGATAAAAGATTTGGGCCTCCTTTTTCCTTTATTAGGAAGCTGTAACATTTATGTACATAATGCCACAAGTGAAAAATTCCACAGCTGCTGTCATGTGCTGGGTCATAATCAAGAAGCAGGCTCATTAAATGTAGTGTGTAGAAGTACCTTTAGCAATGCGTATAAGTTGTATATGAAACATGAATGAATTTATGTTTGGACTTGGATCCCAAGATAGGTCATGCATATACAAATATTCCACCATCACCCCCCCCCCCAAAAAAAAACCTAACAAACAAACAAAAAAACCCAGATCCTGAACATTTCTGGTTCTCAGCATTTTGTATAAGGGACACTCAACTGAAAATAACATTGCCACCGTCATAGGCTGTTTCCCTGAGATAATACAAATCAAACACTTAGCACCTGGCATAGAGTAAGTGCTCAGTATGTTGTCCTCAGTGTTTAAATAGTACCAAGTTCTTGGTTGGGGGTGCCATCAAGAGAGTATAATGTAACCCCAGAAATACCTTCCACTTTTGTTAAAACCATATACATCAATTTAGGATATGTATGTGCAGTTGAATACAGAAATATACACTGTCCCCTCCAAAGTCATTTCCCATTTATGTGCTATTTCCTAGGATTTGGTTCTTTATCTGAAAGGGAGCCTAGGACAATATTGTCACATGAAATTGAAGTTTAAATTACTCAAAAAAGTCAAACCTTGTTCAAAAAGAACACAGGTTAGAAGTTCTGGAGAGGGACAGTAGATAGGTTCCAGGTGAAGTGACCCTTAATGTGGCTGCTTTGTGAGTCTTGACTGATGGAGATCCATCCACTCCAGGGCTACAGTGTTGCTTGCTGTGCTGGAAACAGTAGTCAGCCATGCACAGACACCTGCTCCCCACCTGGTGCAGGCCTGGCATTCCAACTCAGGGAGGATAGCACAGACCCAGTGGTGCAGATGAGGGGGGGACAGAATCGGGTGGTGTGTCCCTCTGGAACATGCAGCGATGTTGGGAGGCATTTTTTTGTTGTTGTTGTCATACTGGGGAGGGGATGCATCTGACATCTAATAGGGAGAGGCCAGGGGTGCTGCTGAACATCTGGCAGTGCACAGGAACTTCGCCACCACAGCCAAGAATTGTGCAGCCCCACCTCAGCGACACATTCAGAACCAAGTCCTGTGGCAGAGCAGGCTGTGGGTGGAGCAGAGATTGCAGTGTGGGTGGGACTGGGTGAGTTTGGCCGTGGGTAGATGGTGTGGGATTCTGGGCTGGCGGTAAAAACCGTCCTAGTCGCTCGGGGGGCTCTTGAGTTATTATGAGAGTCTGGACATTGCTGATCATTTTGCATTTTTCCCTTTGATTTTTATTTCCCATAGAATTATGGCCTTGAGACGGATAATATGAAGAACTTGGTTCTGAAACTGCGGGCATCTTCCCACAATTTACAGAATTACATAAGCAGCCGGCGGAAAAGTCCAGCTTATGACGGGAGCACGTCGCATAAGCCCCCCAACGAGTTCCTGACGTCAGTGGTGGAGCTCATAGGGGCTGCCAAGGCCCTGCTAGCCTGGCTGGACCGGTGAGTTGCGGAGGGTCTCGGGCACAGGAGGCTGTACTTGGTCTGAGGAAACTGGACCATCGTCCCTCTCAAGTCCTTTCCCTGCAAGGCGGGAATCTTAGATCAGCGTAGATCTTCCGGTTCCTGTGGAAGTTGCTTAAAAGGTTGAAAACAGGAACAAATTAACCTCAGCCTAGAAGAGAGGGCGACTGCGGCTCAAGGTCATGTTTTACCGGGTTAAACATTAATGATTGGGTGTTTGGTTGGTATGAAGGCTGTTAGTTCACTCCTGATGTGATGCTAACTTTCGGGGCTCACTTTTTGATGTGTTTTTATCCAGCCTTTCTCTCTCTCCCATCCCGTCTCCTCTTGCACGTGTTCCTTGAGGAAACAGCAATGGGACAGATACCTTGGGCTGGCCCCCTGTGTGCCTGCGCTACGTGCGGAATGCCCGTGGGTTCCTCTCAGCCCCATTTGGCTCTAAGCAGACGTTTTGTTCCTTTCTAGGGCTCCGTTTACAGGGATCACCGATTTCTCAGTCACAAAGAACAAAATCATTCAGCTTTGCTTGGACCTGACCACCACCGTGCAGAAGGTGGGTAGTACACCATTGTCACTTTCCAAAAATGTCTCCTCCCTTTCTCTTCTTTTTCAGAAGAGATGTGTGATGTATGATGTATACCTACATCCCTTCCCCCAAACATTTTTTTTTTCCCCCATCAGAATCTGGGAGAGACAAAAAAACTTAAAATTAAATGCATCGTGCAGACAGTTTCTGTGAAAAAATAATCAGTGACCTTTGAATCTGAGATGACCTTCTTTTATTTTAAAATGGTTGAACTCATAATAGACTTATTCTTCTACTCGAATGTTAGAGCTCTTACTTTTTTTTTTTTTTTTCAATTAAATTCTGGAGTTTCAATTAAATTCTTCACCGCGATCTTTGTTCTGAGCCCTTTGCTGTATCTGCTGATTCTAACCTTTCATTCTGACTTCTGGTTGTTGGATTGACCAGTCAGGATAGACTAGGTTATGAGGCAGTAACAAACAGTCCCTAAACTTTAGCAGTTTATTCCTTGATTACTTGCTTCCAAATGGGTCAGCACAGAGATCTGCTGAGACTTTCCTCTCTTCAACACATAGACTGACAAGACAACCAGTATCTCATGCAGCTGGTCCTCATGGCAGAGAGATAGAGAACCTGGAGGTTCACATGTTCTGGTTTGGAAGGGACACATGTCAATTTCACTCTTGGCTCATCGTCCTGACTTAGTAAGGGCCCAAGAAGTTTTGTTATCAGTCATTCTGTAACTTATCTAGCTTATATGATCTTAACTTTTTAAAAAAATTGTTTGAAAATGAGCACTTAAGCTAGCCACCTCCTATTATATACTTGGCATATAGTAGATACTTATTAATTATTTCTTAATTGAATCGAGGCTATGAAATATAAGGAAGTGTTTCCCCTACCTCATATCTTGCTTGGTTCTAAAATTCTGTGATTCAGTATTTGTTTCCACTACTTACTTGGCAAAAACTAAAGAAAATCCTCCCCTCAGTTCTGACCATGCCACCGCAGAGATGCAATCTTGAAAAGACCCATGCTTTGTATGTTTCTGAAACGAGAAGAGTGAAATTTGGCTTTGCCTGTGGCAGGTGTTTGAGATGCCATCCTGAGCAGCCATTGAACTTTGTGTAGGCGCTTTGGAGGCCAGGATGAGAAAGATGCTTGGAGCTACTAAGTGGCACTGTGTTTATGTGTTTTAAAGAAGCATAAAGTATTTTTGGCAAAGGAGTCTGGCTCCAGGTGTGGTATATTAGTTACAGCAGCCGCCGAGGCCTGGCATGGGTTGTAGAAGGTATTTTCCTATCCTACCTCCCTGGAGTGGTCTCTTTCCTTCCCGTTTCCTTTTCCTCCTAATATTTTGCCTCCTACTTTGATTTTTAACTTTGAGTTTTCTTGTAATCAACTAAATGAAAGTGGAAGAGCTGAACATTGTAATCAGCAAATGGGTCAGTTTTGCGCACAGGTCTCCAGTGAGGGGCCCTACCCCAGGTAGCTGACTCAGGCTGCCCCTGCCAGCGTGGGGACAGGCGGGGAAGTGCTCAAGTAGGTGGCAGAGGTGGTTGCGTTTGTTTTCACAGCATGAGTCTGCTTTGTCTAAGAGGGTTGATGTTGCTTTGCAGGTATTGGGACAGTTCCTTCAGTCAATATTTATTTAGTACCCACTCTGTGTCTGCCCCTGGTCTAGGCACTGGGGTGTCAGAAGGAATAAACACCTGAAGAGGAAAGAGAAAATTAAGTGCTAAATGAGGAAAATCATATACATATATATAGAGAGGCATATGTGATAATATATATGTTATATTGGGGTGGGGGAGACATAGTGCCATGATGCTATGAAGAGCTGAGCAGGAAACACAGGACCGAGGGTAGAATGTGACCTGGGATGCTTGTGTGTGGTACGACTCCCTGAGGAGCTGAGTACTTGGACCAGGTATGGTCCCGTGTCACCTGCAGGGTGGACTGAGTGCTTTGCCTCAGGGGGCGCCCTTTCTGGTGTTTGTGGAGGTGTTGGCCCTTGTGAGCTGCTGATTTAGAAAGATCTCCCCATGGGAATCTCAGTGCACACACACACGCACACACACACGCACACACACACACACACAGAGGAATCTGGGACAGTTACTTTGATGAGTGAGTTGGATGTCATTTCCAATGTGTGGCATCATGGCGGCCACACGATCAGCGGTTCCAGGAAACTGCCCACTCTCACTGCATCTTGACAGAGATCTGTGGACTCTGGAGGAAACCTATCCTTTCCATGTGTTCCTTTTCCCTGGGGAATGGAGGATGAAGGGTGCTTCTCTTTCTAGTGTTGAAGAACAGGTTTTCCTTCTTGTCTCCTTTTGTGAAGAAAAAGGACATTTGCTTGTCCTTTTTCTCCTCCTGCATAACTTCCTTCTCTCCCTCCTCTTTCTTGCCACATTCTCTGCCTCCTTCCTTCCAATAATTTATCATCCGCTGATTTGGAGGATGAGCCCCTGCCTTTCTTCCCCTGCACGTTTCCTTAAAGGCTGTCTCAGCTGTGGTTCTGCCACAAGTCCAGGGGTCCACTTCCCAGCCAGTCTCGAGGTGGTGGAAACCATGTGGGAAGAGATGTGGTCCCTATGCCCAGCCTGTCCTCCACGTGTGAAAACCGAACGGTGATGGTGAGCGAGATGAGTGGCAAGGGCAGGTGTCAGTGCCAGCCAGTCTGGAAGGAAATAGGGAAATGAAGAAGATTTGGGCTCAAGAAATGGGGAACGGAGTGAACCATGGCTGTGGAAGTGAAAGAGGAGGAGTCCACGGTTGAGCATGCCTTGTGTGTCGGGTGTCCACAACTCTGTTGTCATCCTGGGTCACAGAGAAGGGAAACAGAGGCACAGGGAGGTTGCCCAAGGCTGCGCTGTCCTGATAAGGTGCAGTGAGCAGAGCAGGCAGGAGCAATCTACTGGCTGCCAGGCCCAGGTGAGTCTGCTCATCCAGGTGACCAGGGACTGCGAGGGAGGAGCTCTGCCCACTGTCTGACTCACCAGGGTGACTCTTCAGTCCCTCTTAATCCATTCCATCACCCCCGTGCCAAGCAGCCGGAAGTCAGGTCTGCAGCTGTTTCTTCCCAGCAGAAATAGGAGTGGGAAGCCACCTCACCCTGGAGGAAGTGACGCCGAGCCCTTTCCCATCTGACTTGAGTAGTGTGAGAGGCAAACTCACCCCTGTGGGCTCACACAAGGAGCCTGTGTTCTTGGTGGCTTAGAGCCATGTGGTCACATCACCACGCTGACTCTCGGTTCTGGTGCACGGAGAGGAGCTCTCCTTCTCAGGTTGATGGTCTCCCAAGGATGACAGGGCTTGTGTCGTTTTGCAATTTGGAATGAAGGATCAGAAATACAGATTGTTAGTTGTATTTCTACCAAAGCTCCATGACTGTACTGTTCTTCTAAATCTGGTGTTTATTAAATAACTCTGCCACTTAGACAGTAATAACAGGGTACACTGCAATGGTAGTGAATCGTCTAGTTCCATCAACTAAGAGCAGAAAAGCAGACATCTTTGATCTGTAGTTATTATATTTTACATAAGTTGCTCCTATAGCTGGGATTCACATCAGATTCACGCATGCATTTTAGATTAAAAACATATGCAGTTCTAAAATTTCTTTTTTTTGATTGTTTCCTCCTGGGTTGCTCTTTTCTGGAGTCTTTGTAAATTTGGGGTTCAGGAGAGTAGTTATTTTAGTTTCCTACTCTTTTCTCAGATAGAGAGCATTCTAAAACATTTTAAGGAGACAACAAAAGTCTGATTATTAAATCACAGGGTGGAAATTGGTAGCCATCCCCTCCACCAATGATAGTGAAAAAAGAAAAGATCTAAAAATGACATATTGATTTAAGTAGAAATTGTTGCCTGATGATTCCAACAGAGTTGGAACTCTTCAAGTACCTAAAATTGTTAGCATTGTCCTTATGACTGTCCCCATTTGGGATTGTGCTTAATGATGCTGGCAGTTCATCTTGCTTTCCTTCCACATGCACCCCGTGGAGGAGGTTGAAATCCTGTGCTGTAGACAGTTCTAGAAGGTTAACTGTGCAAGTTGAAAGTTTTGCATTGGCAGTTTTTCTTTAGTGGCTTCTGCACAGGACAATGGCGATTCCCATAATCAGCTGGCCCTGTTGGTACAGCATCCCGAGCCTTTTGTTCTCAAGCTGGGTAAATAATGCTTTGCATTCCGGCCCTTCATTGAATGTCATCAATAGCATACCTCAACACCACTTTTTTGGCAGTGTGTTAATGAATGTTTTGTTAAACCTTTTTTCATCTACCAAGGACTGAAATATCTGATTGAATCTCAGTGGTGCTTAAAATAAACTTTTGTGGCTGAGTTTACTCAAGCCCTCATTTGAAAACTATTCCTACAGGCAGGCTCAGAGCTGAAGACTGCTGGCTTGTTGGCCCCTTGTTCACGAGCCTGGGGTGACTTTGGGAGCCACCGTCAAGTTTCTTGGTCTTGGACTTCCGACTTGCTGTTCTCTGACAGGCTGGAGAGCAGGTGGAGTGCAGCTGGGGGGTTTTGTAGGTTTTCAAGTGAAGAACTTGATCAGATGGAGCTTAGATTGTAAACTCTTGTGGACAGGGAAGAGTGGAGTCTCAGGGAAGAGCAGCGTCAGCTCCGTTCTTGCTGTGCCCCTCTGTCCTGTCGAGGTGAGGGAGCGCTGCCCAGCGGTCAGGTCCTCCTGGGCCCCATGAAAAATCCAAAGAGCTGAACTGTGGTTATTTGGAAGTTTTCTATTCTTATGCTTCGTTTTCATTTTCTTCTTCCCTTTCTTTAGGATTGCCTTGTGGCAGAAATGGAGGATAGAGTTTTAACTGTAGTAAGTATACTTTCTAAAAGTTCTTTTTAAAGTTCCTTTTCTGAAGGCACTGGGAACCACATGGATTCAAATAAAGGTGCTGGGGCTACTTACCTCAGGATATACTTGGACTTATTGGCTTTGGGGTTATGAATCTATTCCTCTACGAATTTAGGGGAAGAGTGAAGTTACTTAGCAAGAACAATGATTGTCAGAATCTCTGTGCTTGGATTAACTGTATTGAGGGGGAGAGTTTCTGTTTTGGTTTTATTTTATGTTTCTTTCTTCTGAACAGTTCATCGGGGTACAGCTTATACATACAATGCTAGCTTAGACTGGCAGTAATGGTTAAACTGAGGTGCAGATTTCACATAAGGATCGTTTTGATTAAAAAAAAATTCTTGGCAACAACTTGATCATGGGAGCTGGGGGTGCACCATGACTGTTTAAAGAGAATTTTGAAACTATTCCTCATCACTTCCTCCTTTTGACATAAGCCAGCCTGTGTTCTTTTGATAAGGCCTTCCTCCTACTGATGTTGAGGAATTTAGCAATTAAACTGCTATAAATATATTTTCCATAAATAGGAAGGCCAAATAAATTGGAGGAATGTAAAAAGTGTCACTCCTTGGATTCTCCCCCTTGGAAAGAAAAGCCTCTCTTTGGAATTTCCTGATTCCACTGGTTATTTAGCTTTGAAAGGTTAGATGAAGCTGATTGAGGGACTACTGCATGTAACCACTGTGACTTCTGCCCAGGCAGATCCCAGTGGGCATGCTCCCTGGGTAAAACTTCAGAGTTTTTCCCTGTCAGTGTTTGGCATTCAGAAAAAGCCAGTGATCGCTATAGAGACCGCAGACCTAATGCAAAACACAAACCTACAAGACTTCTAGGAGATGTCATAGGAGAAAATCTTGGTGACATTCAGTTTGGTGCTGAGTTTCTAGACAGAAAATCGAGCACAGTCCACAAAAGAAAAATGGATAATGTAGATTCCATTAAAATTAAAAACTCTTCTCTGTGAAATACACTATTAAGAGAAATGAAATGACAAACCACAGAAACCACAGACTGGGAGAAATATTTTCAAAACACGTATCAGATAAAGGATTTCTATCTAAAATATGCAAAGAAGATTTTAAACTCAATCACAAGAAAACAACCCAATTAAAAAGTGAACAAAAGCCCAGAATAACACCTCATCAAAGAAGACACTCAAATGGCAAATAAGCTCATGAGAAGTGTTCGACATTATTTTAAATTAGGGAGTTGGAACTTAAACAATGAGATACCACTACACACCTGGTAGAATAGCCAGAATTCAAAACACTGATAACATCAAATGCTGGTGAGCATGCGGGGCAACAGGCATTCTCCCTTACTGCTGATGAACCGCAAAATGGCACAGCCACTTTAGAGGACAACTTGGCAGTCTCTTAACCAACACGAAACATATTCTAACCATATAATCCACCAGTTGTGCTCATAGTTATTTACTCAAAGGAATCAAAACTTGAGTGCACAAAATTCTGTATTATATTGCACACAATATTTTTAGCAGTTTCATTTGTAAGTGCCAAAAGTTGAAAGCAACCAAGATGTCCCTTTATAGGTAAACAGGTAAACAGATCTGATACATCCATAAAATAGAATATATTCAGCAACAACAAGAAACAAACTGTCAAGTCAAGAAAAAATATGGAGAAATTTCAGGGCATGTTGTTAATTGAAATAAGCTAATCTGAAATGGCTATATGCTATATAATTCCAATTGTTTGACAAACTGGGAAAAGCAAAACCGATGAGATTAAAAAGATCAGTGGTTGCCTGGAGTTCTTGGTGAGGAAGAGGGAATGAATAATTAGATCAACCACAAGGGATATTTAGAGCAATGAAATTATTCTGCAGATACTGAGTAGTGATGGATACACAGCACAGTCAAAACCCACAGATTGTGTAACATGAAGAATGCTGACATTCAATATGCACTTTATAATAATGTTTCAATATTGGTTCAGTTATAGCAAATGTTCCACACCAGCGCAAGATATTAATAATAGGGGAAGCTGGAGAAAAGGGGAACAGATAGAAGCTCAGAGTACTGGTTCAGTTTTTCTGTAAACCTAAAGCTACTTTAAAAAGTAAAGTCTATTTTTTTAAAAAAATGTTTCAGGTCAGGCTAAAACAACAACAACACTTTTTTTTTTAACCTTGACAGTATTTGGTGTTCAGAAAATATGAGTGGTCTGTGGTAAGCCATTAAGGTGGCTGGGAGTAGATGCGTCCCCTTAAACGAGAGAAGAGGGTTTCTTCCTGCATGTACTCTCCAGTGGTTGTAAAGGTGTTGTGGTTATAAAGTCGCGCTTTTTAAACAGAGCTGAAGTAGTGGCACCACCCCCACAGATTGCAAATATGGAGTCCAAATGCCATGTGTTCATTGAGCAGAATGATTGCTGAGCAGAGCTAGGGATGATAGGCAGATGCATTGCTTGAACAACGAGCTTGAGATTAACATGGTTAACCTTTGAACTCTCCTGACTATTGGCCTCTCCAATTCTAGGTCAAGGTTTTAAATGGCATCTGTGACAAAACAATCCGCTCTACCACCGATCCTGTTATGAGCCAGTGTGCATGCCTGGAAGAAGTTCACTTACCAAACATCAAACCCGGGGAAGGCCTGGTAAGGATTCTGATAACACTTGTTTATTTTCAAGTAATGCACACCAACTTTTACCATAGTTTTTTTTTTGTTGTTGTTGTTGTTGTTTTTATTTTTTTATCTCTTATTGCTTTCATTACCATTCTGAATAGTAGAATTACATTACAGTTAAACAGTTAGGAATTTGATACATTAAATTTCGTTGACTTTTGTTTATCTTCAAAGTATAAAAAGAAATAGAATTTTAAAACTTGACACTCCTAACTTAATGGTTTTATTTTTAGGACTTAGCAATGCAAGGAAATATAAAACATTTATGCAAAGGAGAGATGGTCTCTGGGTACAAAAACAACATCTGTTCTGAAAGTGTCTATTAGCACTTAAGATGAATGTGAGAACAGGCTGGTTGGAGGAAATGAATCCTGAAAAAAACTTCAGAAATGTTTCATAAGACATGCATGAGCTGTGTAATAACAGGCCCTGGGAATGCGTATTGCAGATTTCCTAGTCTGGAACACTCATCCCGTAGGATTAATACGCTGAGTTTTGAGGGAAGCAACTGAGGCCCATTGATGAGCGTAGAGGCCTTGAGTCAGAGAGCACTCACAGGTCAGTTTCCTCTTAGGCTGTTGAAATGTGCCATTAGGTGACACATGCCAAGTGCCCGGTGCTGAGGGTGCAGAGCGTGCATGTGTCTTCATGGAGGGCTGCAGCTGCCACTGCTGGTATTGGTGGTGGTGCTGGTGAAGATGAGCGGAAGAGGAGGAAGAGGAGGAGCCCTGGGGGTGTAGGCAGTCCCTGCTCTTAGAGGGGAAAACAGAACTCATGTCTACAAGCTGAAATTCTTAGTGGGTCAAAATACACGTACTGAGACTTGGCTTCAAAGTAAATGATGGATCATGGCATATTAAGTTTAAATAGGGAGGAATTCCTGGAGATAAGTTCATAGGTAATACTGAAACAGATACATGCCCTGCAGAGATGGAGCGGCCATTTCAGATCATAATGTTACACAGGCAGGGTCCTGGGAAGGGGAGTGCTGTTGGGTAAGGGGGGAGCTCATGGACTCTGCAAAGAAACCAGAGGAGGGGGGAATACCGGAGCGCTTAGTGTTTGATGAGGTTCTCTTTCCAGTAGGTGGCTGAGCAGAGCAAGTTCAGGGCCAAAATCATTTCTGCATTAGTACAGTGTAGACACGCAAAAATGCTTTTTGCCCTGTTTCCTGTTTGCCCTTCCCCGATCTTATAATAGTTTCAATAAAATATATTTTATGCATGGTACGTCCTATTGACACGCCATTTCCTTCTGATTTGGCCTCCAGGCTCTTAGGAAGGAGCATAGCCTACTCAGACTTCAGCTTCCCTTCAGATAGAGCTATGCCTACTACTAATGTGCTATCTGTGTTGTATTATTTAGCAATCTTCATTTGTACGCCCCAGTTGAAGTTACTGTGGGTTTGAATAAGTCACACTGCTGTTCCCCTTGATACCAATTGAACTGGATGTATTGTGTCCCTGGACAAAGAAGTAGTCAGGAAAGAACAGTCCTTGTTTGAAATGCCTCCCTGTTTGAGCAGGTCTGAGAAAATTCCTACATCATAAAGAGTCGGGACGATATTCTGTGTGCCAGGTACACAGATTGTCATATCAAAGAGATCTCACGGGTCTGATCTCTTTCACTTTTGATTTGTTTAGTTCTCCTTCACTGCCCTTTGGATTTTGTTTCATGGTGCTTCAGAAGGCTTAAAAATGAGTATTGTTCTGTGGCGACTGTGCCTGATTTGTAAGTTTATGTCCCTCTCTCTACTCTTCTCTTTAAATATTGGAGTAACGGGTTAATGTCTTTGTGAAACTCTAGGGCATGTACATCAAGTCAACCTATGATGGATTGCACGTGATTACTGGAACTACAGAAAATGTAAGTGCAAGTGCATCCCTTAAAGTTAAAAGCCATTGTGTGTTTAAACAAATTGACACAGAGCTCTGTACTTCTCATTTAAATGTTTGCATTTAAATGTTTGCATGCAGTGGGAGCTGGCGTGGGTGCCTGTTTTGTTTATGTCTGTTGATAGAGGGCTGTACTCTTATCACCAGCTGCTGTCACTTTATTATTTAAATTGTCCTTTATTGCTCTTGTTCACACGTCATGCCCAGTTTTTACCCCCAGTCTTGTGGTACCTTTCTTTTTGCACCGTGCCAGTGCTAAGCCATGAATACAAAAACAATGATCTCTTTGTTGTTATGAATCACTCTTATAAGAACTGGGTTTGATGGCCATATGTGTAAAATGTAATTTTGGGGGGTTAAGTGGAATTTTTATGTCTCCAAAGCAGCTATTTTAGGTTTTTTTTTTTTTTTCACGACACAAATTCTTTTTACAGCGTTGTATTTCATAATATTTGTCATGATTCTGAAATTTAGTCTTCCCCCGCTCCCAGTCCTGTGAATGGAAAAAGCAGGTCTGTTTCAACTGCAAGAGAGACTTTATACACGACTCACTTCCTTCTGGAAATTTGGCTATATGTAGGGCTGTCTTTTTTTTTCTCTTCACTTTTCAGTTTGTAAAAAGTAGCTATTCTTGCAACTTGTGGTGTGGCTGGCTTTTGAATGACACTGACATAAAGCTAAACACATGTGAGTAGCTTCCCTGGTATGTGTCAAAGAAACGGGAATTAATCTGTTTCATCAACCAAGGCAAGAGGAGATAATTTCAAAGAGCAGTTATTTTTCTAATCTCTTTGGAAAATGCATGTCCAATTTTGTGCTTTGGCTGCTTTGTCTTTTGATAAAAGAAAATAGCATGATCTTTGCTGAGTGTTTGTGATAAACACTTGATTTTTGTAATAAGAAAATTACATTGCTTAAGGTAGTTGATGAATCCCAAGTGGATTGCACAGTTCTGGTCCACAATTAAATGGAAGACAGTTGTGTCTTTAATTATCCCCTGTTGAGGAAACACTGAGAATCAGAAGGGGTTTTTATATCATCTTACCTGATAGGTAATATCAGCACAGGAAGCTCTGTTTTTAGGCAGGGGAGGATGCTAAAGAAAAGGTGCTCAAGGCTTTCCATAATTCACCCTCATCCTTGTTGAAGAGTTGGTATATTGCAGTTCATCCCTGACAGGAAGTGATATCCACGTATCAGTCAGTACATTGTTTTGGAGTTCGATGGATTTAGAAGGTGAGCATTGGTGTTTTCAAAGAGCTGAAGGTTTGAAGTTATGTGATTTGGTTATTATATTGTTTGACTTAACCAGACCTGGGGGGTTCCAGACTCTACCTGGCCTTCTTGAAGCAACTTCACGTAGAATATTTCCCCATCATTACCAGCAGGCATAGATTCCTTCCTTCTACCCTGTCCCTTTTGCTTAAAGAAGAGAGTTAATAAAAGTTTAAACAAACTGTTTTTGAATCAAATAAATGTCCAATGTCATTAATGATATATATACCCCTGAATTCCAACCAAAATCATACTACTGGGTGACAGATCTAGGGTTGACCTGGATGTCATCTATTCTGGTGTTGCCATGAGAGAAGTGGTTACTATCTTGTTAAATATCTAAGAAAGAAAACTTGTCTTATCCCATTGGGCGATCCGTTTAAAAATCTTACTCGTTGCTTCAGTTATTCAGCTTGTGTTTTTTGAATACCTAGGATGTGCTGGACACTGGGCTAAGTCTTACAGGTGAGGGTGGGAAGTAGGTAAGAGCCTGCTTCTCAAGCACATAATGTGGATACTTTACACTTACTGGTGTGTATTTTATCCTTGAATGGCAGGAGAAAATGTCAGCTCCAGGTTAGTTTTCTGGCTGTCACTTAAGGTCACAATGATTTCAAGTCACAATGTTTTCATGGAAGCCTAGAAGGGTGAGTGGTGGTGGGCAGAATTGGACCATTGCTTTCCAACTGTGTTGTCTCCATGTTTCTCCATCTTGACCTCCAGGTTGGATATAATCCAGTAGGCCATTCTCAGACTGCCAGTCCAGTGTTTTGGAGAGTTACCTGAGAAGTCAGGATCATTTCACTGGGATGATCGTCTATCGGACTTCTTTTTTGATATTATGATATTATTCAAGATCTTGATGAGAGTCTTGACCACTCTATCCTTACTCCTTTCCTCCACCCCCGAGATTCGGTGGGCATTAGGTTGGTCTCTGGAGAATGAGGGCATTATTCTTCAGGTCATCACCCATCTGCAGGAAACCAGAGCAAGCCTCAGTTTTCAGTAGTTGGAGTCATGGTGAAGATAGGCAAGAGTTCCTGCCCTAGGGAAAATTTTGGTATCAAGCTCTCTCTTTACCAGTGTTCTGCCAAACACAGCTCTTAATTGCTTGGTCAGATATTTGAGAAACGGCTGCAGGAGGATCCTTAGGAAGGGAAGTCAGTTCAGGACATTTGTGCATGTGCTTTGAGATTGTATGGCTCTAAACTGGGACATTCTGGCCTCGGGGCTTTCTTTTATAAAATGAAGCTTACCTTACATGAAACCTTTGTGCAGGATGCAACGATGGGCTAAACTTCTGACACACGGGTGTGAAAAGGAATGTAGATAAATTCATGTTTTAAAGAAAGGGGTTCAAGAGAAAGAAACTCAAGTTAGGCTTGGCCCTGTGGTACCCACGTTGCAGGTTACAGGTGAGGCTTCCTGGTTGTAGTGGAGGCAGGTTAAATGTTTTCAGATATAAAACTGGCACAGTTACTTGTGTCTTGTGTTGAGCCCAGCTAAATCAGAAGCAGAAGTGTTTGGGTAGCTGAATTCTGCTCGCTAATTTCCTGTTGAGCCTATCACGGCAGTTGAGTGGGAAGAATTCAGCAAGTGTGTTAGGGTTTCATTGCTGCCCCCTCCCCGTGTTCAAAGGTGCTATTTAGTCTAAGCGTAGCTGTAAATTGTTTGAAGATTCAGCTAGTTACATAAGATACAGAATTAAATATTCAAGCCTAGATAATGTTGACTTAGAATCTGAAAATCAGAGGCTTAACCTTTTTTCTTCTCTTGGTATCTTAAAGACTTCTCGGTTACTTACATGAACCAGAGTGCCGTGGGCAAAATATTGGACAAATGGACTATATTCTTTTCATATGTATCTCTGTTGTTGCAAATTAATAGCAGTGCATTATTTGGGAGGAACAAAGTCAGAACTTTTTCTTGACACTGAAGATTCACTCATTTTGAATTTAACCTGAAAATGAAAAAAATAAAATTCTTTGTCTTTTAAGGAAATAAATCTTCTGTTTGCTACCAACTTTCTATTTTAATAGAATCATGGTAATATATAAAACAGGATTGAGGGAAAACAAGATTTATATTCAGGAAGGAAAAGGGATGGCAGAGTTACAAAGATGATCCCTACAGGTTAAGCAGTGGTTTTCTTTTACAAGACTAATAGGCATACTTACAAGGTGTGTTTTAGATGAAATGGTTTCTAGCAGCTAATCATTTTGACAGTGTGTCCGGTCTCTCCCTGAAGGTTGGATGAACCAGCTGTTCTGATGGAGAGATTATCAGTGACAACCAACACTAATAAAAGAGATGATATGGTGTTTATATGTCGGGTTCCATGGACTGCGGCATCTTGAGACTAAAAAGCATTCTTTTTCCTGAGAAAATTTTATTTCTGTTGCTTGTTGTCTATATAAGAATGAAAGAAAGTGAGAGAGAAGAAATAGAAACAGAAATAGAAATAGAAGGTGTAAAAAATTCAGACTGGTTCCTTTGTTTCTGTATAGTCTCCTGCAGACAGATCTCAGAAGATTCACGCTGGTGATGAAGTCATTCAGGTTAACCGGCAAACTGTGGTGAGTTTGTTTATTTGAGACCTGATTTTCCCTTTTAGAACTTTTAAAAGAAATCAAAAGTCTTTTTTGTTTAATTTTTTTGAAGCTTTTCTGATTCTATCCAGCTTTCCACTGTTTTAAGCAGTGCTAAGATGAGCATATTGAGAGTGTACCTGTTTGCTCTCATTTTTAATTCCTTGCCATCAATTCATAGGCTTGATTTCTCATTATTCATGAGTCCGTCTTCTCTCCTCATTGCCTTGGTTTGAAGGTGGGATGGCAGCTAAAAAATCTGGTGAAGAAATTGAGAGAGAATCCCACTGGAGTGGTGTTACTGCTCAAGAAGAGGCCCACGGGTTGTTTTAACTTCACGCCTGCCCCCTTGAAGAACCTGCGCTGGAAGCCACCTCTCGTGCAGGTAGCTGTTGTCCTAAAGCCTTCTACCCAGTATCTGTGTATGAACAAGGCTGAACGTCAAAAAAAAAAAGAAAAAAAAAAAAGATTACCTTTGAAGGCGACTGGTTTTAGGAGTTGGTTTGTGCATGCTTAGATAATCCTGCTTATATGAAAGTAAAAATTCTAGATCTACTCTGAATTGTATAGTAGCCACTAGCCTTTTATAACTATTTAAATTAATGAATTAAAGGAAAAGTTCAGTTCCTCCCATCTTCCTGGCCTCATTGCAGATATTGAATATGCTCACATGTGGCTCATGCTTCATATTAGATAGCGCAGATGTTGACATTTCCATCATGGCAGAAAGTTCATCTTAGATCTTCTCATCTTATAAACATATTCAACTTTGCACAATGGAACACTGAGCTTGGAGAGTCCCCATGGGGTTGAGTCTTTAGTGGCTCCCTATAAAGGCGTGGTGGGTGCTGTGGATGTGACCTGTCCATGGAGCCCCGCAACAGCTCGATAGCATTGTTTAGGTGTCAGTCAGAACTGACAGTCTTTGGTGATGATAAAAAAACAAACAGACTTTGAGTTTTGTTATTTAAATTCTCTTCAAGCAATATAGGCCCTTGTGTCTATACCTGGTACAAGGAGCTCACTGCTGAGATGTCCTAATAATGTGATTGATCCTGAGCGTTTACTTCCTAAGCCAAGAATGTAAAGAAATGACATTTTATAGCTTTTTATAAAATTGAGATTATAATTTTATGTGTAGCTGCTTGTGATTTTTTTTTTCTTTTTTTGTACATCTTCACATGGAAGGTGGATAGTCTCAAGCCATCCGTGATAGGATACTTCGTGATAGAGAACACTGCAAATATATCTATAAGTCTAACCCATGGGACGGTGGGGAAGTTTAAAAATAAATAGTATGAAGTGGAGGGTAGAGTTAGAGGACACATGATTAAGACTACTTTATTGGAATATGTATACATTGTGCAATGGCCAAATCAGGCTAATTAATGGATGCATTTCTGCACATACTTATTGATTTGTGGTAAGAACACTTAAAATCTACTCAGCAGTTTTAAGTGTGCAACATAGTTATTAAACATCATCACCATGTGGTATAATAAGAATTCTTGGACTTCTTCCCGCCACTGCCCCAGCTCACTGAAAATCTTGTCCTTTAACCAAAATCTCGCCCACCCTCCTTCCCTTCTCCTTGGTCACCACCTACTTGTCCACTCTTGGCTACTGAGTTTGGGGTTTTCAGATGGCACACAGAGGTGCGATCGTGGAGTCTTTGTTTTTCAGTGCCTGGCTCATTTCACTTAACACGGTGTTTTCTACGGTTCTACGATGTTGAATGGGTTGTCTCTTCGTTCTGTTGATTATTTCCTCTGCTGGGCAGAAGTTCTTAGTCTGATGCGATCCCTTTTGTCTAGTTTTACTTTAGTGGCTTGTGCTTTGGGGTCGTAGCCAAGATACCACTTCCCATAGCTGAGAATATTGATCATGCCCAGCTGCTTTTGTTTAGTGGCTCAGTATAAAAATTTAAACCTGTTTAGATTTAAAGTTTGGATTCTTCGAATGGGACACTTAACATCCTACAAGCGCTTTATTCCTGGCAGAGAGCTGATGGAGTGCCTCCCAGCTGCCAGCCCTGCCAGCTCGCTGCTGCAGGGGAGATGCGGGCTCTGAGGAAGAGGCCATGTGGACTGTGACGGGGAGGGCGCCTCTTCCTGATGAGCTGGCACTTTGGAGCTGGGCGTAGGTGGGACCCGCACTGGCAGGTGAGAGTGTGTGTCTCGGAGGTGAGCGCTGCTCTTTCAACACGCTCGCCCACATGAGCTGCCATCAAGGAAGGGCAGAGTTTGTAGGTCAAAGCATCCTGGTGTCACCAGATAGCTACGGGCCTTGGTGGCCCTGTGCAGGAGAGGCCACTATCCTCTGGAGAAGGGACAGCTGTGAGCTTTTGGGTGAGGTGACAGCCACAGCAGACATGGGTGGTCCTGGTTGGTTCAGGGGCTCTGGGTTGGCAAGGAGTGAGTAGCTCAGACTCCCTGAAGCCAGAGGTGGTAGATAAAACAAACACCTGGTCAGCGGAGACTGTCTGGTGCAGGTACAGAGGATGAGGCTGAGGGGGTAGACTTCACCCACAGGTGACAGGTTGGCCCCTGCTTTGCATTACTATCTCTACTGTTGTGCAACAGTTGCCATAACCAAGCACTACAGATTGGGAGGTTGAAGTCCCAGATAAGGTGTTGGCAGAGTAGATTTCTTCTGAGACCTTGCTCTTCAGCTTGCAAGTAGCCGTTTTCTCCCTTTGTCTTCACGTGGTCTTTCCTCTGTGTGCGTCTGTGTCCTGATCTCTTATAAGGACACCAGCCATATTGCATTGATCCCACCCTAATGACCTCGTTTTAACTTAATTGGCTTTTTGGGGGGAGGGTACCCAGGATTGAACTCAGGGGCACTAAAACACTGAGCCCCATCTCCAGCCCTATTTTGTATTTTATTTAGAGACAGGGTCTCACTGAGTTGCTTAGTGCCTTGCTATTGCTGAGGCTGGCTTTTAACTTGCGATCCTCCTGTCTCAGTCCCTGAGCTGCTAGGATTACAGGCATGCACTGCCGTGCCCAGCAACTTAACATGATGTGCAAATACAGTTACTTTCTGGGGTGCTGGGGGTTAGGGCTACAACATAAGAACTTGAGGGGACAGCAGTTCAGCACACTGCAATATCTAGACACAAGACCAGGGAGGAGTCCCTTGTATAGGTCCAGGTGTGGGGCCAGGGGGTCCTGGGCAGCTCGGATGAAAGATGGACAGTGCCAGGGACCTCTTGGGAAGCAGCCACACGGGGCTCAAGGAGCAGCACAGCCTGGTGGCCAGGAGGGTGGCTCTCATGCTGGGTCCCTCGAGTCCTCATCTCAGCTCTGTCGCTCATCAGCTCTGGACCTTTGGCTGGTGTCTAACCTTCGTAAGCCTTGCTGTCCTAGTGTAGTGCCGGCTCTTGGAGACAGAGGGTGTCCAGGGTGATGGGAAACCTACGAGGTGACAACAATCAGAAAGTTAAGAAGCCACCTGGAAGGCAGAGATGGCAGGAGTCTCGAGTCTGAGCAGGAGGTGACAGAGGAAAGTCCACATGGATGTGTCCAGGGCATAATGGAAAATCATGTTTAAGTACAGGCTCCCCAGCCCCCCGGTGACTCCTGGAAACTCCCGTGGAAGTCTCACTCTTGCATTTTACCCAGATTTACCTTCCTGAGATGTTCGGGAAGAGCCCACGGCGAGGGAGAAAGGTATTAAGTTCTGCATCTGAGCCACCATCAAAAGGCGGAGCTGTTGAACAGCTCAGCTACCAGGTGTTCTTGTGAAGTGTCCAGGATATCTTCAAAAGGTGAATGCTGGTGGGCGAGTCCTCCGTGAGCTCACCCGGCCCTGGGCCTTCCTCTGTGTTTCACTCTTCCCTGTTCTTCAGGCCTGGGCACCCACCACTCTCAGGAGGCAGCTCTTCATTTTTCTTCTTCTCCTTCTCCTTCTCCTTCTTCCCCAGTGCCTCACCTGTGCTGGGCAAGCGCTCTACCACTGGGCTCCAGCCCCAGCCCTCCATCCTCTTCTTTTTGACTCATTAGTGTTACCCTGTCACAGAAGAGCTGTTTCGTTCTGCTTTGAGGCCACAGTCCTGGTAGACGAGGGTTGCTGATAGAGCCGTGTATCAGCACCGTGTGCACAGTTCAGGGAGTATCTGCCCTGTGGAAATAATTCCACTCTACTTTGGCTTCTGAGGTTTTAAGGGTCTGGATTCTGGCCCCGTGTCTTCAGATATGGTCCAAGATTGACAAACACGAGTTTAATCTCACACTGAATAGAAGAGACAGATTATGCATTCATTGGTGGCAAAGTCTGCAAAGGGTGGGGTTGCTGTAGGGGGCTGAAGACTGGGCCTGGCCTCTGTGTCTTGGTGTCTCTGTTGAAAGTAGCCATCACTCTGTGACTCTCCTGGTGGCTACTGCCAGCTCTGGCCACACCGGCTCTTTGGTCCTTTCAGGTTTGGAATCTGGTTCACAGTCTTCCTGCAGTGACAGCTTCTGTCACCACCCAGGCAGAGGGGGTATAAAGGTAGCTTTCTGTACCTGGCGCAGGTCCAGCACAGTTCTCTCTGGTCCCCGCCAGATGTTTGCCCATCTTGACTGTGAGACTTCCTTGTGGTTCTTTATCAACCAGAAAAGTCTGTCGTTGTCATTGTTAAGAGTGCAGAAGGATAAGATTGGGGGACTCACCCAAAGTTTAAGAAAAAATAGATCCTTTGAGATTGGTAACATAATTGAAGATTGGTAACAAACTGAAGCCGTATGTACTTTAAAAATTTAATTAACTTAAGTATATGAGTATCTGCAGCACGTGTACAGCTAAATTCATGCACATGAAATTGTGTGCTTACTTGGTGACAAGCAGTGTCCTAGGCTCTTTGAACAATGTTAGCTACCCCCGTTGAATACTGTTCTTATTCCCATTTATTGCCGTCTCATAGTTGAGGCACAGAGGGGTTGAGTGCCTGGCTCAGCGATACACAGAAATCCAGGAAAGCCAGGATCACACCCAGAGTTCTGAGCCCACACTCCTCGTCAGTACTAGCGCTGCTGTGGAATTCCGTGAATGAACTCAGCCCTGACTGCAGCTCTCTGCAACAGTGTTCTCAGTGTCACTGTTTCACAGAGGAGGAAACTGAGGCTCAGGTGTTCAACCGATTTTCTCAGAGCTCGACTTACACCCTGGCACCTGGCTTTTAAAACCCTGCATTAATTCTGAGTGTCTTCCGGAAGCTGAGTCCTGTCAATAGCTGTGAACCTGTGGATGACCTTGGCCTCTGCTTACTCAGGGCTGGCCTTGGCTTGGAGAGGGAAGGTGTGACCAGGGTAATCTCCTTGCTGACTGACCTCTGCCCTTTTTGGCTCTGTGTGGCTGTCACTGCAGACCTCGCCCCCACCCACGACAACCCAGTCCCCTGAAGGCACCATGGACGCCTCTCTGAAGAAGGAGAAGCCAGCCATCCTGGACCTTTACATTCCTCCTCCGCCTGCTGTTCCCTACTCTCCTCGGTACGTGGTTCCTGTTTTCATGGTGTGCTAGCCCCCGTGTGGGTAGATGAGCAAGAGGGGCGTGAAAACCCTCCAGGATCTCGAGAGAGCAGGTTGCTGGGCTGCAGTGTGGCCAACTGAATCTGGAGGCTCACTGGTCTCACGGTGTGGGGGGTGCAGAGGGAGGTGCAGGGGGGTGCAGAGGGAGGTGCAGGGGGGTGCAGGGGGAGGTGCAAGGGAGGTGCAGGGGGAGGTCTAGGTCATATGGGGCTTGAAGCTGTGCAGTTTGGTGGGGAGGGGGGCTTTAAGAAAATAATACAGAAATACCTTACTTCTGAAAAGTTTACAAAACCATATACTCCTGGGACCTGGTAAGGGCCTCTGTGAGGGGTCCCAGGGAAGAAAGGGGTGTGTACAGGATGAGGAAGAGAGGGAGCTGGGGCCCTTTCATCTACCTGGAGAGACATGAGCACTCATGCACCTGCGAACACACATCACTAGGACACACAGGAGGCAGCAGCCTCTGTATTTTGTCCAGTGGTGTTTTCCTGATTGCCTAAAGGGATTTGCTAAGTGCTTATTATTATTATTATTGTTATTATTAATTATTATTTACCATCTGGTAACTTGAGATAAACCAAAATTAAGTTTTATTATAAACTGACATTTAGATAGAATTAGGGTGGAGTCCGTGGTCCAACATTTTCCGGTTTCTTTATTCAGTTCAAAAATAGTCTCCACTGGTTACTATAAAGCATCCTTTGTCTCTGTGGCTTAATCTTCAAATCTAACAACTTCATTATACATCAAGAGTCATATTTGCTGAATCTTGACAAAGATACTGCTCTTGGTGCAAGGACAGTGGTTCGGTAGCTCACGCTTCAACTTCTGATTCTTGACATGGATAGGAACTTCAGCTGCAGGACAGAACACAGGAGCACCAGAGCTCTCTTTGCAAAAGCATCTTTTTACCATTTCGGTCTACGTGACCAAAAAGCTGCCTTTCCTGTGATTCATCAGGGTCACAGTACTTGCTCTTATTTGATAAGGAGCTGTGTGTTTGGGAGGCCACTGGGTTGAGTAAAGTGACACTTTTCCTCCAGTGGAGAGAGGAGTTTTCTCATGTGTGCTCAGGGGATACGATTCCCGTGATTTTGTGGTAGGAGACGAGGTGAGCATCTTGATCGTTGCACATTATCTTCCAGGGATGCCTATGGCGGATTCAGCAAGTGTAAACAGCCATTGCCTGGCCCCAAGGGTTCGGAGTCCCCGAATTCCTTCTTGGACCAGGAGAGCCGGAGACGAAGGTTCACCATTGCTGACTCTGATCAGTTGCCGGGGTACTCGGTGGAAACCAGCGCACCGCCCACGAAAATGAGAGAGAAGACACCATCTTACGGTGAGTTTCCGAGCGTTTGTCTTGTTCTGCTGTTACCCCCTGTTACTTCTCCTCCCACCCCTTCCTTATTTGGAACTGTTGGGTGAATTTGGCAGGCTCAAAGGGTAATCCGAGGAAAACATCAACCTCAATGAAATTTTAAGTATGAGACCTTTACTCAGCTCTGGAGCGCGGCCTCGTGAGTCACTGCTCTGCTGGCCGCGAGGCCCTGCGGGCCAGGCTCACATTTCAGGGTTAGCTCTCGCGGCCTGGTTTTAACTTGGGAGTTGTGGACTCAGAGGCTCAGGTTTGGCATGCCTGTGTCCTAATTGCTTGCTATGGAAACACAGTGCTTTAAAATACTTCCCTTGTTTTAAAATCTGTGATTGCTTCTGCTGAAGGGGCTGTGCTCATGTGGGGATCTAAGTTGGAAATGAACTGCTGAAGTCCCCAACCTCTCCAACCTGGTCACTTTCCTTCTTGTCCCTTTGAAGGCAAGCCCCGGCCTTTGTCCATGCCTGCGGACGGGAACTGGATGGGCATTGTGGACCCTTTTGCCAGACCTCGAGGTCATGGGAAGAAAGGTAGGTTTTATCTAAGCAGACCTGGGCCTAGGCCTCCGCTCTATTCCTGAGTGTGTGATGATAACTTTGAAAGTAGTTAGCCTCTCCGACTCCCATTCTGTCGTCTGTTAAACCAGGTCTGCCGAAGCTTTCTAAGGCTCCACTTATTTCTGGGATGGAATACAGGGAAAGATTACATAATCCCAGTTAGTGAGTGCACATCTCCTGATTAGCAGTGTGGGCTTTAAAAAGGCTGTAGACCTTTTAAAAAGGTCTATTTAAAGTTTTTTTTTTTAAACAAGTGAAATAAATTGCTTATTAAATAATCTCATCCTGAATTATTGACTTATTACTGGAATCCATTTATTTATTTTTTCTGATGACCAATGTGGAGTTTTTTCTCCTCCCCAATCCTTCTTGGGTTAGAGAATGGTGACTATTTGAGAGAAATTTGTGTTGAATTCACCTTGTCATCAAGGTCACTGGTTATTACTGCTAGTCTTAAGGGAAGTGTTTTAAAATGTTTGGGTTTTGCTGGATCCCCTGTGGTTATCAGCGTCTGCAGGGCATGACCATGACCTTGCTTGTGCAGTGTGGCAGCAAAGAGCAGGCGAAGAGTTAAAGCTGCGTGACCCTGAAGTTGGTAAAAGGAAGAGGAAGGACATTCTGGAGGCTTAAGCTTCCAAAGTGATCATCCCCTGACATCAGCTAGGGCCTTGGGAAAGTGTCTTCTGAGTACTGCTGTCACTAGGCTTGTGCTAAAGGGACAAAGGGCCAGGAGGCCTGTCTGTGGATACTCTTAGTTTACTTGTGAGACTGAGGAGCAGTCAGCAGGTGGCAGGCTGCGCTTTGTTTAGATCTGGGGATGCTGACATCTTCTTCATTATCATGGTTCTGAGCTCCACGCAGCCTTTTTTGTTTTGTTTTGTTTTGTTGAGAGATGGAGCATAGGAGTTGGGGAGTATGAAAACGGGAAATGGGAGTCCCCTCCACTCTTTCTTCTGCATTTCTTGTGTGATTGATCCAGAGTTGCAGATGTCGGTTGGCATTTAGCCAACGGTATTATTGGGATGTAACTCAGAGCATGAACTTCACTCTTCAAATGTACAACATGGTGGTTTTTTGGATATTCACGTTAGTCACCACAATCTTATTTCAGAACGTTTCCATCGTCCAAAAGAACCCCTGTGCCTTTTAGCCATCCCCCTCAATTCCAGTTGTCCCCGGCCCCTGATCCACTTTGTGTCTATTTGCCTATTCTGGACATTCCATATAAATAGACTCATACAATGTGGCTTTATGACACTTTTTAAAAGTGGCTTTTCCCCTTTGGTTACAAAAGCAAAACAAGTCACAAAAGCAAAACACTGGAAAACATCTAGAAGGCATGAGAAGATAAAACTCAGCTGGAATCAACTTCCACAACCTAGGAGCAATTACTGCGAATGTTTTGTGTATCTTCCAAATCATTCCTATATTTACATCTTATACACTTGGAAAAATGTGGAAAATGGAAAAAACCCAGACGTTCAGGAACACTATGTAAAACGAATCCTATCTAGAGCATTTTTTTTTTTTTTTTTTTCACTGCAATTGCAATAGTGTTCCATCTCATGGCTGGATACCTATTTATTCAGTTTGCTATTGTTGAACATTTAGGATTTTTTCTGGGTTTTTCACAGTTACAAATTGTGTTTCCATAAGCATCTGTGTACATAGATCTTTGCACATTTTGGGGAGTGGAATTTCCAAAGACTGCTATGTGTTGCCAATGTGTCCTGTGTCTTAAACTCCTGCTTAGTTTCTTAAACACCTCCTCCACCCCAGGAGGTCTGCTGGCATTTAAGACAAAATCGTCCTTTGTTCAGGAATGTCCCAATCATTGTAGATTTTTGCTCATCGCTAAAGGTGAATGGCGCCTGACCTTCGTTCAGGGTGACATCCAAGGGCACCCCACCTTGCTAAGCGCTCATTGGGGGTGTTCCGGGAGCAGGAACACTGTCAGCATGTACTTCATGCTCAGGTGCTGAGCCAGGATGGCTGGGGAAAGAGTGAGAGAAGCTTACCGCTCTCTGTTATTGGTTTGTGGTTTTAAGTGAATTCTGAGGGGTTTTCCAGGGGTAAGGGAGGGCAGGCTCTCTGGCTCGTGCTCCCTGTTCAGTGCAAGAAGAGCCTGAAGCAGGAGGGACCCGTCCACTTCTGCTCTGTGAGCACCCACCAGGTGGGCCTGCTCAGCCTTTGGGCCTCGGAGCCCATCCAGAAAGGAGAGCTGGGTAGGGTGTCCCCTTTCAGGGTGTCATAGGCTGAGGACTCTCCGCGCGGCACTGTGCCAGGGATTGCTACTTTAACAGACTCGTGTGCTCTCTCCGGACACAGGGGAAGAGGCCCTCTGCAGGTATTTTAGCAACGAGCGGATCCCCCCCATCATCGAGGAGAGCACCCACTCCCAGTACCGCTTCTGCAGACCCGCGGCCGAGAGGCACCTGGTGCGGGGTGCAGACTACATCCGCGGGAGCAGGTGCTACATCAACGCGGATCTCCACAGCAGCGCCACCATCCCGTTCCCGGAGGAAGGGACCAAGAAGAAGTCCGCCTCCTCCGGGAAGTCGGCAGAGCCGTCCCTGCTGGTCAGCTGGCTCACCCGCCTCAAGCTATTGACTCCCTGAGGCCGCCCTGGAGGGACCCCCGCCTGTCCCCTGCTACCAAGTGCCTCCCTCCCCCGCGGACAGACCCTGGGGACCTCACCCACAGGGTTACGGAGTGACCTGGTGTGATTTCACTTGTTCCTTTTGGAGAGTTGGATGCTGCCTTTCTCGGAATTTTGAAGCGACGGGACGGCCGCAGACCCAGGGGACCGCAGGTGCTGCTCGTGGGGACGGAAGGAGGGACGTGGAGAGCCTGCTCTGCCTCCTGTCCCCGGCACTGGAACCCGCAGAGGCACCGTGAATCGCCTGGGGGCCAGAGGCTGGGTCCTCGTCAGGACCTGGCAGCGTTGGTTCTTGGTTTCCTGGGCTGGGCTGGGGGGACTCGCTGGTGGCTGTTGCCACTCCGACGTGTCGGTTTGTGGTCCATCTTCTTCATCTGAAAAAAGCCAGTGGAGAACACATTTTTGTTTTGATTTTTTTTTTTTTTAACGCTCTATACCGTATTTTAAGTGCAGCGACTTTGACTTTGACATTGGCAGGCACCCGGGATGCTCTTGAGCAGAGTTTACATGTGGACCTGGGACCCTCCGTCAAGCCCCTGTGTCACAGTGGTCTCCGTCTAGGTCAGTGAACACACGAGCACATGCGGATAGGGCTCATTACACACCGAGAAGGGCGCGGTTATTTGTGAGAGGTTGTGGTGGATGTTGTCATGTATTGTCTTTAGGGGAAAAGAAGCTGTAAGATTTGCTGAAAGCCAAAGTATCATTCAGGAAGGTCAAGCAAGATTTAGGTTTATGAGAGACACATCAGTGTGCATTTTGACTTATTACAATGTCTACCTTTGGTTTTTGATTTCAAGTGAATTATGAAAAATTCTATGTTGGTTAAAAAAAAAAAACCCTACAGTTCTTCAAAACTGTATACATTTTGCTAATTAGAAATATCTTGGAAAGCCTCATGGTCACTAATTTTCAACTAGCATCAGGTATTTTGAAAAAGCGTCTGGATATTAACTCTTGTTTAAACTGAATGTATGATATTTTGTTAGAATGGAAAAGTACTATCTTGTTAATTTAAGTGTTTTAAATATAGTTGTATATTTTTCTTACTCTTAGTCACCTGTCATTGAAATATTTCTGTTTTGCGTCATTCATGAAGTTATGGAAGGAGAGTGGTCAAGGTGTTTTCAAAGATTTACAAGTGACCGCCGCAGCTGCCAGCAGTGTGGGCACTACTATGAAAAAACTGCAGTGAACCCTCCCAAGCATTTGAGGGTTTCACGAATTAAGCAGGGGAGCCGCAGACACAGGCACAGAGTAAAATTACAACAGGAACTTTTCCAAGTGCACTCCGGGAGGAGCTGGTATTTCCTACTCCAGATACCCTCCTCACATCCCAGAGTGGTTCATTCTGCTGAATTGCCTGGAATTCAACCCGTGAGGGATTCACTGGAGGTGGTGAGCCTCTTGTCTTTGAAAGGCTTCTTGGGGGTGGGGGGGTAAGGGAATTGGCAGCCACTGGCCGTGAGTGTGACTGAATTCACTCAGGCTGTTCACTTTTGCCTCTGGGGGACCTGCGGGAAGACAGGGTGTGTGCACCACTCACAGGAGGGATAAAAGAGGCTGGAGCGTGTAACTGGGTGGGTGTGCCACACGGGGCAGGAGGGCAGAGTGTGCTGACAGGCGCTGGTGGCCAGGAGGCAGCTCCATCAGAGGAGAGCCAGGCCCTGCTGGTGTTGCTGGTCACCTGAGCTGGCTCTGTGTGTAGAAGGGTGGCCATGTTTCCTTTCACTCCCTGGAGCGAGGGGAGGGTTCTTAGTGATGTAGTTCCACAGCTTCAGGAGTTAAAAAGCTTTGAAGGGCTAAGCGTGGTGCTGCACATCTGTAATCCCAGCTGCTTAGGAGGCCGGGGCAGGAGGATTGTGAGTTCAAAGTCAGCCTCAGCAACTTAGTAAAGCCCTAAGCAACTTAGTGAGGCTCTGTCTCTGAATTTAAAAAAAAAAAAAAAAGGAGTGGGGCTGGGAAAGTGGCTCAGTGGTTCAGCACTTGGGTTCAATTCCAGTTACCAAACAGACAAACAAACAAAGCTTTGGAGGTATTAGCCCTTTTCTGTGGAGAAGATGCCACATGTGTGTTGAATGACCATCCTAAGAATGGCTTTTCAGAACCAGTCTTCACTGTATGCAAGTGCCCAACTCAAACCACTACCAGATTCGTACTTCTCAGACTCTTTCTGCAGCCATATGGAAGGCCACAAAGAAGGTTCTGGCTTCCTCTGCCTTCAGTTAGTCTCTACAATTTTGTTTTGGTTTGTACTTATATCTGGATATCTCTTATAAATTGTGTTTGAAAAATATATTGCTGCTAAAAAATTGTCAACATCTCCTTTTGAATATATCCAGCAGTAGTTCATATGAATTTCTTAGACCTGAGTGGACACTGCTTGTGTCAGTCCAGGTATCGCGGTGGACATGTTAACATGAAGATGCAGGATGACAGTAGGTAAAGCAGTGCTCTTGGCGCTACCTGACACCCCACCTTTTTGTAGTAAAGGTTTCATGTCATCACTTTCCAACCATCAGGTGAAAATCATGCCGATAAAATATATTCCAACAAAGGCCTCGCATCTCTTGCTGTTCTGAAACGAAATGCACGGATTAACAAATTAACTAGTCTCTAAACATACCCACCTAACTGAACTATAAACAAGTGCAAGCTGAATAGCGAAATGGCTGTTTTACTGTGTAAATGCTGTCGGGGAGCCACCTGTGACAAGGTGTAATGGAATAAGGGACCAGGCCGCACCTGTCCATGAGATGAAGAAGAAGAGGGCGGGCGGAGCAGAGAGAGGAAGCCCCCTGCAGCTCCTCGGCAGGCACCTGACTTAGGAAGGAAGACGGCGCCTCAGCTAGGTGCATGATCAGGGAGCCTCTCGGAAACCTAACGCTGAACTGGAAAAAGGGAAAAATCCAGAGATACAGAAAGTTGGTACCTTGAGCGTCAGAAGTGATCCCTCAGAGATGCACCGAGGGCCACCAGCCCAGCGAGTGGGGAGTGGGGACAAGCAAGACACGAGGCTGGGGGTAGAGAAATTGAAAAGTAAAGAAACGGACCCAGAGAATCCTGGGTTCACAGAGGAAGGCGGGTTTCAATGGACAGAGTTTGTTGGGGGGGGGGGGCTCAGAGAAAACAAATCCAAAGAGTCCACCCCAGTGGGACTCCTAGGGGAGTGCCACACAGAAAGCCCTGGAAAGGATCCTCTATGTTCTCATTTTTTTTTTTTACTTTTAAATTTTTAACTTTTTTCAAACACTGTTTTTGTATTGTATCATTCTTCACATTTCTCCCATTATTTTCTGTATATGAGTGTGCGTGTGTGAGTTGTGTATGTTCCCACCGTGCAGATAGGTTTGAAAAATCAATCTATCCACCTACCTACCTACCTATCTGCCAATGTCTCGGCTTGGCACAGAATCATGAGCCACCACACACCTTGTAGATTCAAACAGCAATCCTTTATTCCCGAACTCACACCAGCCTCCACACAGGCTCAGGGGAAATCCCAAATCTGCCCCCACAATTCACCTACTCTACGAGGCTTATTTCCAAATCCCATTTGAATCTCACGAGAACTCAACGGGAACAAGCAGCAGGAACACCTTAATCCCAGCAGCAATAATCTTCAACCTCCAACTTCCCTAAAACCCATATTGTCTTAAACCGGGAACGCCTTAAACTCAAGGAGCGGGATACTTCCTCAAACCTGATCAGCTCTAAACCCAGATCCACCCTGGTCTTTGAGCAAGGTCACCTTACTAAAGCATACATGCAATGTCCCATCGAATGTCCTCTAAGCAACATGGGGTACCCTGGCAAGGAAATTTTGATGCGTCATTCCTACTTGGCAATGGCCCTCAGCACCTATCTATCTACCTACCTACCTATCTATCTACCTACCTACCTACCTTTCTACCTACCTACCTACTTATCTACCTACCTATCTACTTATCTACTTACCTACCTATATACCTACCTACCTACCTACCTATCTACCTATCTATACTTACCTACCTTCCTTCCTACCTACCTACCTACCTATCTTTGTGTGACTTACACATCAGTGGCTCCCTCCTGCATGCCTTCATTATGTAGCCTAGCTTAGACTTCTGTGGGTGCAATTATGCGAGGGTTTGAGTAGTTTTGATTTTGTTTGCTGATCCATTCTTATATAGGTTCTGGCCCTTCCTAGCTCCCATTCTTCACTCTCTGCTACCAATAACAGCCCAAATCTCTTATTTCCTCCTCCTCTCTTGTTTTCATTACTTCGGAAAACTCATTCCTTCTTCTTTACAGCTGACATGTGTTCTCTATCTCTTGTCTCTCCTCTCATCACCTTTTCAAACACTTCAGCTTTTTCTTACCTTCCTACCCTATTTTCTCTTACTCAAGAAACTGTAATCCTACTAAAACTAGAAATTATATAGATTAGGTAATTCCTACTCCATTCAAGTTGTGATTATTAGTACAATGGACAACAGAGTGGACA